CTGGAGCATGTTCATTCATCTTTGCTTCAAGCCTGCAGCTTCCCAGTATTCCAAAGGGCAGAGCGCTGTGGAAAGCAGCCCAGGTAGTGTCAGGTTGATGGCCCTCCACATCTAATGATTCTATTAGTGCCCCAACTCTATCTGCTGGTAAATCCCCAAGAGCATTCTGTCTATAGGATTCCATCAGGCTCCAAGTGGGTCCCTCACCCCTGCAGGAGGGAAGTACTGCCATGAGGCCAAATCTTAGCAGGAGTGATTGGACCATGATAAAGTTACTTGGACATCCCCCAATTTTCAGATTACTTGGCTTGGAAGTAGACCAAGTCATGGTCATGCCCCACTGAATGCGTTAGACTGATGAAAGATGAGGTAGGATGCCATGAAACCTAGTGATTTAAGTGCAATGGTCTGGTGCGGCCAAGGTGTAGGGAGCAGGCCATTTCTTGCTCATGGCAAGCTATGCAGGAACAAGCAGGGGATGAATCCTTCCTTTGCAGCAACTTCAAGGTTGCCTGGTGATGTTTCCCACACTGAATGTGAGAGTTGATCTGTTTTGGAAGAGACAGAAGAGGAGCAGACGTGGGACGCAGTCCTTGATGCAGTCAAGAAGTGTTGGAGAAAGGAGCTGCTCAGCTGGAGGGGCTCCATTGCTTCCTGCAGTCCCTCCCTCTAATTTTTCAAGGGCAAGAGCCCCCCTCCCAAGGGTGCAGCAAACAGCCTTACTGAAAGGGAGGGACTGCAGCAAGTTTCCTGCCTGGATTCAACTTTTACATGAGCAGAGGGTTCTCCTTCTAGCTTTGGTAAAAGCTTATTTAAAGCTATTCTGCAACAGTGGAGTTACAGTAAAATAACTGCACTTCAGAGGATTGTCTTGAGTCTTTGGAATCTGAAGGAAGGAGGGAAAGGAATAGCTTGTGATACAAGGCACCTCACTTTAGATTCAAGGATGCTTAGGGAGAAATGAAACCCCCTGTGTCAAAGCAGATATAACATTAATTGAAGGTTATGGTGAAATGCAAACGCAGGATATAAATGAGTGAAGGAAAACTTGCAGTTCCCTTTTCTGTGGCTGTATCGGTTCCCTGAATATGCTACAGGATATTCTGTGGGCTTCCAAAGTTCTCTGGATGAGCACTGCAGCCATTCCTCTCCCCAAGCTGCAGACAACAGACCACACCTCTTGCCATGGATTTTACAAAGTTCTCTCCCCAACTTCCTGGGAGGGAAGCTCCTCAGTAAAGCAAACAGCTTTGTTCTCACAGCAAAGGCATCCCTTAACTAACCGAATGACTGTGGAAAGCAGCTTCAAGGCAATTATCTCTGCTGGTGCTCTTCCTAACAAGCAGAAAGCCATGAGGCTTTGGCTTGTCTATAAAAAAAAACTATCCTGGTCTTTAGACACAGGGAAAGTTCACTACACTACTTGTCAAAACTTAATAATCTCCTTGCCATTCTTCCAGTACTCCCCATGCCATGAAATCATGAGCTGGCGGCTCCAATGGAAGCCTCAGCATGAAAACTCAAGTCACCCAGGACCACTGTCATCCTGGGTTCCTCCAACACAATACCAAAGGTCACCACTGCCAGCTCAGGCAGGCAGCATCCTGGGTAGCAAGGTGGGTGGTACACCAGCAAGGACCTCAGTCTGTCTTTATGGCCCAGCACCAGAAGTAACCCCTCAAGGCCCTCTCGCAGGTGGAGTGGTGTCCTAGTGATACACAGAGAGACTCTGTGAATTTATTTGTTTAAAGCTTTTATAAACCATCCCTCTAACTAGTGTCTCGCTGAACAGTTTACAGCAAGCAACAAGTAAAATAGGAATTAAAAAGAATCATACAATTTGTCTCCAGCCCTGGCCTCCCAGCCTTTGCTAAGGTTATATGAAGTTCCTTGGTGGGCACAGTTGGGTCAGGTCAACCCCATCCAGTTCACCCACCCAAGTCTCAGTAATGCATGCCAGGTTGGCTTTCTCATCCACATTAAATTGTGAATGAGTGCAGGCTTCTTGTGGACCAATTGGGTGTTACAGAGCATCACTGCAAGACAGGAGGGCTGCCAGACACATGAGAGTTATTGGAGGGCATTGGAAGGGAAACAGAATATAAGCATCTGTAGAACATTCTGCCCTGATATCCTGAGATCTTCAGAGCTTGCACATTATTCATGATCTTTTAGTTAGCTGAATAAGGCTATTATACTAAGATGGCTTTTGGATTTCTTCCCCATACCATCATGAAGAGAGGAAGAGAGACCGACTAGCAAGTCTCTACAACTATGGTTGGAATGAAAGAAAGACTCATATTTTGCAGGAAAGTAACATCAGAGCCCACATACTTTTTCCCCCAAAATCCAGTGGGAGTCATTGGTCCGGCCTTTGTGGTCCTAACCTGCCTTCGATTCAATGCCTTGTTACAGTACAATATGATGAAATGTGAGGAACTTGCTTTTAAATAGAAAGTAAATTATGTATGTTAAAAAAGTTTATCCAAGCCTGCCCCCAATAATTGTTATGTCTCTAGTTAATCTAATCATTTCCTGTCCTTTAATTGTGTTTGGATGAAAAACACCAGTTTATTTATGTGTGGGTTTTTCCAGAGGCCAAGCCTTTTGCTTCTAAGAATAGGAAAAAAAAAAAAAACCTGGACAATGCTGTATCTCCACTAACATCCAACACTCCCACAATAATCCACATTCTCTCAGCTTGTATGAGATTATTCCCGACTTATTTACATTGCTTCCCACAATGCAAGAAGTAGCTCTGGGTTACAAATGAGTTCCTGAGAAAACAGAAGCTCATCTTTTAAGTCAAATTTGTAAGTTGGTTCACATATAGTTGGCCCTTGACATTCACAGGGGTTTAGGGTCGCAGGACCTCCATGAAAGTGGAAAAACTGCAAATATCTCTAGCCTGCTGCCCAATCTCACCAGAGCCTCCTCTTTGCAGCAAGGAAATGCCAGAAAGGTGTCCTTTTCTGAATGGGCATGGCAGGAGGGCAAGCTTTGGAGGCTTCCTTCTTTCACTTCCACCTTCCTCTCTGCTTTGGAGGCCTCCTTCTCTCTCCCCTTTCACTTCCTCTCTCTCTCTGACGATGATTTTCCACAGTAATTTTGTTAAATTAATAGGCTTTATGGCAGTTTGTTCATAAGTACAGGCTGTTTGTAACTCGTATGTTTGCAACTTGAGGACTACCTGTATTCTTTGAGCGAGCAAAGTCTGCCTATTCCAATACACAGGTGTCCATCTATTTATTGCAGTCTCTTGCACCTACAACCCTGTTGTAAAAATTGAAACATGCAAGCATGATCTAACTACAGTGAATGATTTACATGGAAACTGCTCCTTTGCAATTCATAGTAAATAGTGTATAAAGTTGCTGTTTGAACACTTGTACTTTAACTTACTGACTGACCTTTTTGTTATGTCTAAATTGCGTACTTATTGAATTACCCTTGCACGTACATGCCCTGGATTAATATTTAGCAAAAGCAATCCTTTTCTGAAATCTAGGGAGATAAGGTTGTATTAAGCAATTCACCATACATATTAAGATCTTCTTTTCTTTAGAAAAACATTTAATGTTATTACATTTGTATCCCACTTTTCTTTCCTCATGCAAGGTATACAAAGCAATGTGAATGTGCTCACCAGTTTTTGGACCTCTGAAAGCATTTGGGAATTTAAGAGCGAGCTATGGGCACCATCAAAAAAGTTTAATCAATGGATTGCCCCTTCAATGTCTAAAAGTCTTGTCTTACACTGTGCCTTATTCAACAAATATTTGCAATATTTTAAATCAAATTTAAAAACTTGAAACAAGCATATTTTGCCATGCATTTCTGCCTTTTGCACATGAAGCTTAACAGCACAATCGTATAAGGCTTACTGCATAGTAAAAGTAAGCCTTATACCATTGCAGCCTAAAGTATTTTAGAATATTTACATCTGTTTACAGTATTTGAAGATAAGGGACAGTGAGGAGAATGAGGGTACAGAGAATAGTTATTTTAAAAGTCTAGTTCTCAAGGGACAAGCAAACAACTGCCCTATATTTATCAGTTTCAAGGTACTTTCTGGAACTATATTTACATAGTGGTTGGGGCAGATCATTTTAGATGCTTAAGATTCATGTGTATTTACTCGGTTGTAATGCACTGAGAATCCTGTGTGTGTGTGTTAGCAGTAGGAAGGCTTTTGTGGGTGTGTACAGGTATGTGAGTGTTATGTATTTATGATGGGTACACGGGTTACTTCCTTGAGGGTGTAAGAGCCAGCTACAGGCCATCTGGCCTACAGGAGAAAAAAAAAGCATATATATGCATTTGCTAATTTATATGTGCACCTAAATGTGCATCTTCAAAGAAGTCCATCTCCCAAGGACAGCCCTTTTTGTAAAAAGAGATGAGCAACGGAGAGGATGACATTTGAGATCAGGGGGAAAAAAAACTCGGGTAGAAAGAGGAGTCAGCAGGAGCAAAGAAACACGTTTGGGCAAAAATCCAGCTCCTCCAGGGGGCTCAGACGCAACCGAGATCGTGGCGGCCCCTGCACTTTTATCTCAACACGTGCCCATAGAGAACAGCGGTGATGGCGCAGATGGCCTCCCAGAGACTTGGAGCTGCAAAGGAAGGATTCAGAGCTCTATGAATAGTGGGACGTTCGCTAACCCTACATCTCCTTCCATTTTAATATCTGGGAACAGGCTACATCTCTGCTTGAAAAATCAGCCTTTCGGAAAGGCTACTGGTCCAAGATGACTAGCCGCGCCTTCCATGGCAACAGCCCTTGGAAGTTTCTCCAACTGCCAAATGCCAACAAGTTTGCCTATCCCCGTATTAGTCCATTTAATATCGGGGCTGCATGGTAACGGTTTAGTTTGCACCGTTATCTCAATTGAACGGGACGAGAACTGCGGTTGAGTAAACATGTTTACGATTGCACCGTTACACACAAACGTAAAGCAGCAGCAGCAGCAGCAGCAGCAGCCGACTCTTCGGGTCCAATTCAGGGCTGCTGCTTGCGCCAAATATTTCTTTTCTGATACAGCAAAGTCCCTGCTCCTTTCCAAACGGCCTTTCTTTGCTGCCCCTTCGCTCCCACAAAGCCGCTTTTCCGGTGTCCGCCGTGCGCCACCCTGCGAGCAGGCGGAGAGACTCCCGGCATGAGCTGCCTTCGGCAGCTGAATTCTCGGCACCAGCACGAAAGGCGGCCGCTATGCCGGGAAGGGGGGCAGGGGGCAGAAGAAGTGCCCGCTGGGCGGAGGTGAAAGCGAAGCGCCTGTGAGCCGCCGGGCGAGGACGAGAAGGCGACCCTGCGGTGCAGACAGCAGTGGCTGCGTGGCGAGCAGCCGGCAGCCCGCGGCAGCAGCGCCGCCATAGCCACGCGCCCCCGCCCGGCCGGCCAAGGGCACCGTGCGCGTCTCCGGTGCGGTCGGGAGGCTTCCGCCAGGCCCCGTCCGCCGGCCCGGTTCCCTCACAAGCCCGGAGGGAGGCGAAGCAAGGAAGGTAAAGGCAGGCGCGGCGGGGGGCGAGCGGCTTCCGTCCATTTCCTGCGGCGCCCCCCCTCATGCGGAAGGCCGCAAGGAGCCGCAAGCGCGAGCAGCGCAAAGACACGTCGCCAGAGGCTGGGGGGGAGGCATGGCTGGGCGGGCCCTTTCTGCGAGCGTGTTCGTGTGTGCGTTTGCGTGTGAGTACTAGGCCGCATTGCTGCTTGTGAGAAAAAGGGCTGCTGCGGCGGTTCCGTTCCCGGAGGCTTGAGCGGTGCCCTATAGTCAGCCCCACCACCTGCACCGCGCCGTCGCCCCCCGCGATCGTACAAGACGCCTTCCTTCCCGGGGGAGACCATTTCCTAGCCGGCTCCCGGCGACGCGCGTCAGGGCGGCATGTTGCCTTTTCGCACAGCGCGTCCCGAGGCAATCACAACGCGGGGCAGGGAGGCGCAGCATCCCATCTCGAGCATCGCGGCTGCGGCACCGCCGACCGCCGTCCCCCGTCCGCCTGGCTGAAGGCTCGCCTTCGCCAGCAGTGGTGGATTCGTGGGCTCTGCAAATAAAAGGCCCGCCGTGGCTTGTGGAGCTGGGCGGTGCTGGGCATGGCACCTCTTCGCTTAGACTTCCTTTAGAGTAAGAACCGTTAACGCAAAATGTCACCTTGGCTGTATTTGGGCCTGCTCATGAAGCAGACACGAAGCGAAGACTTAATAAAGCTTTCTTACTGTCTAGATAGGCAGATGGGAGGGTATGAGGATGAAAGGAGAGTGGAGATTCGTGTCCGGGGTGGGGTAGGGGAGCGAGATGCTCTAGAAGATTTCAACTCTAGAAACGGGGGTGGGGTGTGAGGACTGGGAGACTTCAGATTAAGTAAGTCTAAGAAGAACTTGTGCATTTTAAAAGCCCTCTCCCTAAAAGGCCAGATAGGTCTCAACATTAGGTAATGACTTTCCTCCTATATAGGGCACATCCCAGCATGTAAGATTTTTGATGGGTGCTGAATGTTTTTATTGATTCTGCCAAAATGTTTTGTAGATATCTTTGTAAATGGCTTTATATTGGTTTAAACAGTTTTTAAAACTTTGTAAACAGCCTATAAAATGTTGATACTAGACTGTATAGAAGTGTAGTAAATCAAATGAAATGAATGAAACAGGTCATTGAATATATGCATAAAAATATTAGTGAAGCTTGTTTTCTGCAAGGCTGGATTTGTTCCTGGTAGCAGCTGGAAGTGACATTTGTTGTCATCCCTGGAGTTCCAACCTGGCCCAAGTGGGGGTTGTTTTTGTTTTGGTCAACCTTCCTAATCAATAGCACTTACACCAATTGAAGGGGTTTTTTTTGCTTGAAAGGTCATAGCATCCTGGAAAGAGACAGAGTGTAAGTTAGCATAGTGGATGGACATTTCACCAGATATATCTGCATCCTAACCTAAATCCTCAGGATACTGTAAACTATGAGAGGCTTGAGAATACCACTTTCATTCTTCTTTCCTGCTTTGTAAATAACACTTAATTTACAGAGGGGAGGCTTTGTTTCAATTCACAAACCAACATTTTTGTGTATATCCATTTTTTAATTAATTTGCTTATTGTAACACATGTTTGTACTAATCTAATTTTGGTTTAATAGTAATTTTTTTTATTTTAAAGCTGTCCAGAGAACCATAGCCTATGAGAAGGTGTCTAAGGGTACATCCCTAAACATGTTCACACAGAAAAATATCTCATCATTCTCCAGCCATGCCTTCTTCTGACTTTTATTTTTTTCTGTCTATACATGCATAGGATTTTGCCTTAAATGTCATAAATAAATATGAACACTTATTAAATACATTTCTGTACCATTCTTCACCTCCAACAAGGCTCCCCCAAAGCAGGTTGCAGAACAGAATACCTTTAGACTAATTGAAGCAACAACAGCATCAGACCAGAGCTTTAAAGCAAAGCACTTAAAAACTTCTGTTCTTAAATTAAGAAACACTAAAACCCAGGTGAAATAAATATGTTTCCACTGTTTGTCCAAAATTGTCAGTGATGGGAATAATTGAATTCCATAATTAAGGAGCTACCACGGAAAAGACCTTCCTGTATTCCTACCATCCAAATATTTTTGCTGGTAAGATATTTCTACCATCCAAATCCAACAGGGACTGGGACAACAATCCCAATCTCCACAGGTTCATATAGGAAAAGGCAATCTTTCAAATATCTTTACAAGGCAGCACCAAACACCTGCATGAAATGGAAAGGTCTTACATCAATTGCACTAATACGGTCTGAAATACGCACCAGAAAGCAATCTAGCTGCTGCCCCTTAATACCAGCTGCATTGTCAGAACACTCTTTTAAGGGCAGCTGCATGTAGCTGCAAAGTGACTAAGCCAAGCATCACTGGCTTGGCTCATCATTTCCAGGAAGAAGTCCAGACGACAATCACCTGAGCATGTGGGAGTAGGGCCAGATCCTAGAGTACTCCTAAACTGAGAACTCGATTCATCAGAGGGAATGAAAAACCTGTAAAAAAACCAGGCTGTCTTCTGAATTGTGATCAACAGCACCTCTGTCTGGTAAGAGCTGTACCTTAAGTTGCTGGGTCACATCCAGTCCATTGCAGCCTCCAGGCGATGGCTTAGGGCAGGGGTCCTCAAACTTTTTCAACGGGGCCAGTTGAAAGGTGCTGGTGGTATGTGTATGCATGTGAAGCAGGGGCAGTGTGCGTGTGAGGCAGTGGCAGGTGTGCACATGGGGAGGCAAGGTGAGGCGCGGTTGCAGCTTGTGTGCTCAGAAATCATTTTCTCCAAGCAAGTCCAAAACGCTTAGGGCTTGCATTGTCACCTTGGCCTTAGTTGGAAAAGGAAAGGTAAGAGTTGGGGATAATCTGCTTTTTAATGAGATACCACCCCTAAATCCTTGTTGAACTTTCCCAGTAGTTTCATGCAGATACTAAAAAACCCTGAAAATAAAATTTAGCTCTGAGGAATGCCAAGGGTAATCCCCCAACATCACCTTCTGAAAATATTCAACCAAATATAAACAATCACTATAAAAAGGTGTCCCTAAGTCCCGTATCAGCCAACATCCCAAAAGGACATTGTAGTCAAAAGTTTTGTATGCATTTAAGAGGTCCAGCAGAAACAACAGAGTCATACATTTCCTATCATAGCAAAGGTCATCAATCAAAGCTACCAAAACCTGGCTTAAACCGTGATTGGAAAGAGTCAAAAGTTCAGGTTTATCTAACCTAGATGCAGCCACCTACTCTAGGACCTTGCTCAAAAAAGAAAGATTGGAGACATGCCTACAACTATCTATGATGGTGGGATCCAAGTAGATTTTCTTTAATAAAGGTCTTCCAACTGCTTTCTTTAATAATGCAAAGACATAATTCTCTAATAAGGAAGCATTTATGACTATCACTATGCAGCTGGCTAGTCCTCTGGCAGTTTTTACCAACTAAGGTGGTCATAGATCTGACAAGCTGTTAGCCTCACTTTCCCAAGCAACCTATCTCTGTCATTAGGATGAGCAAACTCAGCAATAGATGGTTCAGTCACTTTCACAGATTCTGCCCTTGATGTTGAATCCAAGTCAAACCAAATGCAATTTTATCAGCAACTTGTTTTGCAGAATCATCACTGACCTTCAGCACTTGGGGGCCTAGAGTGTACCTTAGCTATCTATAATAACTCAGCTGGAATTAAGCACTTTGTAAAACTCCTTCCCTTTGTTTATGGAAGGCATTTCCCTCTGATACTAAAGAGAGATTATACGGAAAGAACTAAACAGTACTTCACTGAACAAGACTCTGTCTTTTCCAGGCTACAGTCAGGTACAAACTTTTCTAAGAAAATACATGGCTGGCAAAACCAAGATAAGCATAAAATTGTTCAATGAAATGTTTCAGCTTTTGCTTTCACAAGTAATACAAAGCTTGTGGTTTTCAGAATGGATATAATGGTCCATTATGGTTTCAGAATGGACATAATGCTCAGGATGGGCATAATTCTCAGGAAAGTGACATATCGTGGACATATGGGTGGTAGAAATGTTTTGAAACGGGGTATGAAACAGTTTGGCTACGTTTCGCCAGCATGATAGAATACACTCAAGGGTTGAATACAGGTTGTCATAGAATTGTAGGTTGTCATATTGTCTGAACAACTCACTGTGCACAACTCAACAATAAACCATGGGTTTTTTTCATGGGTTATTCATGGTTAACAAACTATGGGTTCAAACAACACAATAACTCACAGTTCAATGACAACCTATACTCAACCCATATTGTATATTTGAGTGTTGTCTGAACCCAGTGATTATGTGTTATTGTTCAAACTGAGGTCACTGGGCAGTTTAACTTTTCAGGCTTTTTATTTGGTGTCTATTTAGTCTTGTTTCTGTTGTCTTTCTGTAGAAATATTTTTAAGTCTGTAAAATTGCGCTTAAAAGTAAAAAGTCTGAACAGGTTATTCAAGGCATTTTCTTGTGATCTTGTGTTTTGGGAATCTCTGTGTGTGTTGTAAATGCCCCCAAATAGGTGAAAATTAACAATTCCAAGTTAATTTCTTGAATGTGTGAAAAAGGACATGTATGTACATGTGAATGTGGACAATTGCATACCAATGATGCGGTGTTACCCTTGAATGTTGAATTTCTACTGTTTGAGTGTTAAAAAGCCTTGTTAAAAGGAAAATTTGGAATGTTTAATCGTGACATTCTGGCCAGTGTTGACGAAGGGGAGGTGGAGTAAATCTGATGCAAGTATTAGTAAAGGATAATATTCAGCCCCTAAGTGTGCTTTGCAAAAAGATGTGGGAAGGTAAGGGTTTCTTATACTAAATTGGATGAAAATGATTAAGAATGGCATCCAAAATGGGGCTTGCCACAGTAAGTGTTAATATTTAGTGTAAATTAAAAGGAACTTTTTCTAGGGCTCTTTTTTAATTGAAGAAACGTAACAGTTTGATGACCCAAATAAGTTAGAGTACATGATCAGTCCTTGTAGCTCATG